AAAAATCTTTTACACGCGTGCAATGCGCGAAATCATATGAGGTCGTTCGGCCATATGACATCGGTAGATTACATTAGATCACGCAGGAGGGAAGGCTGTCACCTTATAAAGGTTGTGACCAAAAATAATGTAAATAGAAGAACAATTTATATTTTAAATTTAATTTTAAAAAAATCTTTACACGCGTGGAATGCGCGACATCATATGATTTCGTTCTTAAATTTGTCCTTACATTTAACGTCATATGACGTCCCTAGATTACATTAGATCATGCAGGAAGGAAGGCTGTCTCCTTATAAAGGTGGTGACCAAAAATCATGTAAATAGAACAACAATTTATATTTTCAATATAATATTAAAAAAACCTTACACGCGTGGAATCCGCGACATCATATGATGACGTTCGGCCAGCTGCCCTTACTTTTAACGACATCATATGATGACGTTCGTCCGATAAATGTTAAGGTACATTTTAATATTATCCTCCCACCTATGTCTAGATCTTCTAGTTTCTTTCTGGCTTTTCCACCAAAATCCTATATGCATTCATCTTCTCCTCCTATGCCTGCTACATGGCCAGCCCAGCGATCATTCTACTTGTACTTGGTGAAAGGTACAAGTTATGAAACTCCTCATTATGCAGTTTTTAGGTATCATAAAGAGCAGATATTTTTCTGTCCTGCCATAGTGGCCATTAGTTTCTCAGGAAGTTCAGTGCATTATGAACTGAATACTTTCAAATGCTAAGAACAAATCTGTACAAAACAACTGTTCGAGTTAGATGTCATGAAAAGCAGCCATAGGAAGGATAGCTTAGTGTACGCTGTTACATGTAATGGGGTTGATAAAGATATGATGGTTTTACAGAACTATACAAATTCAGAGGATGTTTCAGTGGGTCCATATGATGAGACATACCCAGCTTGTTATGATGCAAATCAGGCCCTAAATATCAAAGCCGAGGAAATCTCAGATGCAGAAGAGGAAGCGGATCCTGTGCCAAAAACAATTCAGGAAATAAAAGCCGAAACTGAGGTGAGCTGTATGTGTATGTCCACTGTTAGGCAGATATCACAAATATGCAGAAATGCCCATTGTCTTTCTGATCTCCATCTGTCTGTGCACAGAAAACAACTACTGTGTTGAATGGATTTTGAAAATGTTTTTCTGAAGTGCATCAAAACAATTAATTGTAGTTTGTTGAATGTTGCTTGTGATGTACCACTTCAGTTTTCTTTTAACACATTCAGGACCGGAAGGGCCAATTGGCCCTCTACGTTTCTATAGTGTTGCAGACCAGGCAGGCCAATTGGCCCTTTTCTGATGTGTTATGTTGCAACTGACTATATCTCACTGTGTGGCCACGTTGCATCATAACTACTGCGTAGTTGACCTCGGGAATGTTTGCTAGCTTAGCCAGTAACATGATCACGCTCATTTCCTGTCACACCCTAAAGAAAAAAAGCCTTTGTTCAAGTCCAAGCTTCCACATATGAACCAGGAAGTTAGCAGTGCAACATGGATCAGAGACGAAAGCAGTTACAGGCGAAGTGTTCTCTCGGAGAACAAGAAATATTAGATTTGTTCTCCGATGAGCTATCAGATTTGCCAATAGCTTTGTCTTCTGATAGCAAGGCCAGCCTCAGTGAAAGTGACAGTGACAGGGGCCACAGGGCCCCCCAAAATATTGTGTTCAGTGAAAGTGAGAGCTCCGATGAAAGTGCGAGTACTGGGACAGCCACATGGGGTAAAGTGGACAAAACCCCCACTTTGGGTAGGTTTACTGGTGATCTGGGGGTGAAGCGGATGCCATCAGACCCAACGGATGTGTTTGAAGTTGCGTCACTGTTTTTGGAGATAGTTTCTTTGACCTCTTATATCAGGAGACTAACAGATACTATCTCCAACACCATAAGGCGTACGACTGCACCTATAAGGTGTTGAAGTGGGTGGGTGTCACTTCAACAGTAATGAAAAAAAAAATTGGCTATGATCTTTCTAATGGGGCTTACGAAGAGAGATACTTTGAAGGATTATTGGTCAAGTGACCCATTTTTAGAAATTCCCATTTTCGGCAAACTCATGAGTCATAAGAGATTTGAACAGATATGGTGGTGTTTGCATTTCAATAATAATGAAGTGCAGCCACAACCAATGGGCAGGCTTTTCAAAATTCAGCCCTTATTAGACATTTTGGTTGAGAAATTTCAGACAGTTTATAAGCCAGAGCAACAAATGTCTTTGGACGAATCTGTGATTCCTTGGAGGGGAAGGCTTTGTATTCGAACGTATAATCCTGGGAAACTCACAAAGTATGGTCTACTTGTTCGTGTAGTCACGGAAAGTACTTCAGGCTATATAGGAAATTTAGAAATTTATTCTGCTGAAGACAAGAAATTGCCAGAAACTATTGTTTCTGTTTTGGGTCCCTATCTGGATCAAAATTATCACGTTTATCAAGATAATTATTATAACAGTGTGGCAACTGCAGAATACCTACTTTCAAGGAAAGTACATATTTGTGGTACAGTTAGGGTGAACAGAGGCCTTCCTTCAGATTTGAAAGAGGAATGTAAGTGCCTGAAACGTGACACCACATTCAGGAGGAAGGGGGACATTCTTCTTCAGTCCTGGGGGGATACTTGCGTTGTGAATATGGTTTCCACTATTCACAATTCAAGTATGGTTGATGTTCAGAGACGCCACGGGCAAGTGAAGAAGCCTCTTAGTATTTCCGAGTATAATATANGTTAGGGTGAACAGAGGCCTTCCTTCAGATTTGAAAGAGGAATGTAAGTGCCTGAAACGTGACACCACATTCAGGAGGAAGGGGGACATTCTTCTTCAGTCCTGGGGGGATACTTGCGTTGTGAATATGGTTTCCACTATTCACAATTCAAGTATGGTTGATGTTCAGAGACGCCACGGGCAAGTGAAGAAGCCTCTTAGTATTTCCGAGTATAATATAGTCATGAAGGGAGTTGATAGGGCCGACCAGTTCTTGGCCTATTATTCCCTTCCTAGGAAAACAGTAAAATGGACGAAGAAAGTTGCACTGTGGCTTATAAACTGTGCACTTTTCAATTCATTTTCGGTTTTCAAAAAGGTGAACAGAAATTCTGCTTCGAAATACAAAGCATTTCTGTTGAACTTGGCAAAAGCTTGAGCTACTGACCTCACAGTGGCGGCAGTACCTGTGTCAGACACAGACGTAGTGCAGCCGGGGCCATCTGTTCACACCTGCCGGAGGCCTCATGTGGACCCCCTGGACGACTCTCGTGTGATATGCGGAAACATACCCTTGTGAGAATTGTGAAGAGTGAACATTGCAAGAAGAAGTACCCTTCTAGGCAGTGCCGTGTGCGCGCAGTCCACAAGAAGAAGAGTAGGACTGCGTACATCTGCAACTACCGCGTGATGCCTCTTCACAAAGGAGAATGTTTCCAGAGATATCACACACACAAGCACTTCTAGGAGCTCTGGTAAGTGTTCTCCAAAAATTTTAGTTCATAAGATTAATTAGATTTTATATTAATTTTTAAAGTGAACAGTGCACAAGTTAGGGTGCTAGGCTTAAAAACGCCGGTCCCTAGGGTGATTTAAATATTTAAACAACCGGTCTGCAATGTGTTAAGCAGATGTGATTTTTTTTCTCTCCTGTTGCTCCAACCTTGGAGCATATGGCTGATTTCTCAGTTTCATGATCATAATTCCTTGGATGGGTGATCAGTAAATCGCAAGGCCTCTACCTAAACACAGAATAAATGCATACATACACCAGACATCCATGCCCTGTGTGAGGTTCAAACCCATGATCCCAGCTTCCAAGCGAGCGAAGACAATACATGCCGTAGACCGCTCGGCTACCATGACAGGCAGATCTGTTATAGATGAAATTAAATACTGTGTAAAGGGAACAATGTTTCCAGGATATTCTGTAGCAGTAAATATCTTCCACATTTTCCTTGTCCAGCCAATCCAATAAGGTTTGCTTTGCTATAAATTGATACAAGAGCAAAGACTACGACAAAGTGAAACTACAGAAGAAGAAACAGTTAAGTGTAACGACAATAATGTGATATATTCAAGAATGGAACAAGATAATCAGCAGGATGAGCAGCTTCCAAATTTAAGTAGTAATATTATAATCACTGACTTCTTAACAAAACCAGAAATTTTACCAACAGTAGAAAAACCAATTCCAGTGATTGTGAATATGGAACTAAGAACTAATAAGAGAGATAATAACATGCTTTCACAAAAATCTAAGCTTAACTTAATTGTAAAGACTAAGAACATCAAAAGAACTAACCAAGGAACAAACAAGATAAATAAGCATAAAATAATGATAATTGGTTATAGCCATTGTAAGGGAACAGCAAGAAACACAAGTGATTACTTAGGAGATAAATTTGCAGTAATGGGTATGATTAAACCGGGTGCAGGTATTGAGGATATCCTTAATAATGTTATATTTTAGCGTCCTGTTGCACTGATTTATGTCCATGATTTATTCTGACCGTCTTACAGTGCATACATTTATTCGCCTTACTCTTCTCTCTTGCACTACATGTTTCGGCACTAAAGTGCCATCTTCGGGTGCTTCAGGATATCCTTACATCAACGAATCAGAATTACAGAAGTCTGACCAAAAAAGATGTAATAGTAGTACAGGGAGGAGCTAATGATGTGTATAGAAATAACATAAGGCTAGCACTAACACAGTTTGTAAAATTCTGTGAGGATTTCAATAACGTAAATATTATCATATTAGATATCCCACACAGGTATGACCTGATGGAAACCTCCTGTGTTAATAGAGAAATCCACATATTCAATAGAAAACTAAGGAAATTCACGAAAGTATTTAAACATGTTACTATTATTGAAATGAATAATAATAGAGAAACTTTCACAAGTCATAGATTACATTTAAATAAATTAGGAAAACAGCAATTTGCAAAACAAGTGGCTAATGAAGTTAGAAGGCTCACTGATAAGAAAGTAAGTAGCATAATAGGTTTGAATTGGAAACATGTGAGTAAAGGGACTAGTCCAAACTGGATAATTGAACAGACAGATAAGAGTAATCAACTTCCAAGCGATGAAATGAGAAATATGAAGGAAGTCCTCAGAGAAATAGTAAAGGATGGGATAATGAAAACACCCACTGCTGTAAATTGTGAGGAACCAGACAAAAAGTGAAAGATAATTCTGATGATTTGAGACAATGTAATAGCTCAGAAAATTTAGTAGATATGGGTAACTCTTCAACTAAAGAATTAAAAATATCTAAGAAGACAAAGAGACCCTCACTAACAATGAATAATGATTTTTTATGGTAAATGGAAGAGGTAACTGTGATTTTTATCCAGAATTAAGAGTCACCAGTAGTAGCAACAAGCCAATTAATTTAAACGGAAAAATTGTAAATAAAATTTCTGATTTAAATATTTATCATCAAAATATAAGAGGATTAGGTAATAAAATGGATGAGCTACTTAGTCAGTGGGACTCTCAATCACCACACATTCTTTGTATAACAGCACCATGTAAATAGAGATGAAATCATACAGATCTCTTTAACTAATTATAATCTTGGTGCACACTATTGTAGGAAAACCAAGAAAAATGGTGGTGCAGCAATATTTATCCAGCAATATTATCAATATGAGCCTATTAACTTAGAAGAATTTTGTATTGAACAATTAATTGAAGTGTGTGCATTGAAGTTATATCATCCCAATGACAATATTTGTATTTTAACTGTATATAGAGCTCCCTCAGGAAATTATATCCATTTTCTCAATATTTTAGAAGCAATACTAAACAGAATCTACACTAAGATTAAAAACATTATTTAGAATTATTTAGATGATATGGCTAATAACAAAATTAGGTTAGTATCTCTTTTAGCATCATATCACTTAACCAGTATAATAGATTTCCCTACTAGAGTAACAAAGACCTCAGCTACAGCAATTGACAATAAACAGAAATATGTACACAACATTTACAGTAACTCCATTATCTAAT